TTGGTACGCGACACACCTTCTCCCCAAGATGTGTAAGTATAGCAAGTTTGGTAGCGCTAGGTCAATTAGGGGCCGAGTTATAGAGCGGAAGGGAAATATGATCAAGGTCAACTTCAAGGTCAAATAAAAGCTGCAGTAACCTGGTTTTGGTACGCGACACACCTTCTCCCCAAGATGTGTAAGTATACCAAGTTTGGTAGCGCTAGGTCAATAAGGGGTCGAGTTATAGAGCGGAAGGGAAATTGTCTGCGGTAGCGGCGGCTGGGGAGACATGAAACCATAGTATCCCCGCCGACTTCGTCGCGGGGGATACAATAATAATCATAGACGGTTTGACATCAGAGCGTGTTAAACATCAAATATGAGTTAGACCATAATTTGAGACTGCCTCTCACGTCAGCTTGACGCACGAGCCAAGCACGAGTCAAGGCGTTGATTTGACAGGTGGGTCGACTTAACCGGTGTCTGTATCATCGCAGGCTCTGCGCACAAACTCCAGGAAAGATAAATGGCAAAATCTCTACCTCACTCAAGGTTCAAGGTAGAAACGTACTTTTCTTTGAGTTTGTGTGGAGAGGCGTCGATGTAGATATTGTTGACCAACAATTAAGACCAGCAATATATACATGTGTGGCGGTGGCACCGGTCACCACGGGTTCCCCAGCGAGGTAATTGTGAGGTAGCTCACTGGGAACCACAGACAGAGTATGGGTAAATGTTCCGTGTTTGTGACTGTATAATTGTTTGTGATGTCTGCTGTCTATTAGTGTGCGTTTTCGTGGTGTTTTGCCTGCTCACCAATTGATAGATGTGGATAGACGAGTCCCTACATGGCTCGTGTGGCGCGGGCGGTATGAACAGCTAGTGGTGGATAGGGGCGTGTGAAGAGACGGCAGGCAGTTCATCTCTGGAAGTGCGGGTGGAATCGAGTGAGGGAGGACATGTGGGGTGCAGCCTTGTCCACTGTGTGGGTGGGCATGGAGTGGAGCGGCCGGTTGAGGTGTGTGTGGCGGGTATGGTGACAGCTAGCGTACGCGTCGCGTACTGGTAGTACTGTATGGTCACCGGTGTTTGACGTGGCTTGCCTCGCGGGTGAGAAAGACAGGCACCGTTAAGAGCGTCGGTTGGCGAGTAGGCACCGTTGTACTGTCCTGTTGTTGTGGGGCGAGTAAATAATACAGTGCTAGAATATTAAATAGGCCTGTTTAATATTCCTAAATAATCGAGAAGTATCAACTCTGCACGTATATAGGATAGAAACTGGCCTATTCATGCACGACCGCACAGGGGGAGACTGTCGGTTGTTTTAGCCCTTGCCCTGGCTACGTTCATTCCATTTCATTTGTATAACCTCTGTGCATACCCCGGGTATACACTTGTTATTCAACGTAATGCAGGGCCTGCGAGGCAGGCCCCCCCGTGGGGTTGCCCCGTTGTTGTGTTTGTAGTGTGTCGTCCCATGTGTGATGGCCCATGGGCCCTCACACAGGCACTTGAAGCATTTCAATAAAATATAATGAGCACCAAATAAATACAAAATCTATTTACTACCAGTCTTAATGTTTCTATACTCTCTTTCACATATTATTGCACACAATTTCCTGTAAATGCCGTCCAAATGCTCATCTGCAACAAACGCTGGCTGCCGTTGCACACCGACACATAAATATATCGCAGGTAGGAAAGCGTGCTGCCAAAATTCGCTCGACGCTCACTTGATTTCATACGAATACAACACAAATATTCAACCATTCTACTCCATCTTTGTTTCTATTTGAATAACAGTGTTCACTTGTTATAAAAACATAATGTCTGTGTTCTTAACCGAGCTGTCACGCGAAATCACACAAAGCCTGGCGAAATTCTCGCGTTCGCTCCCGTTGTGCAGTTTATGTAAATGGCTGCAAGCAGTGTTCGAAATTCACGTCGGCCCGTCGGCCCGCCGCCGACAGTTTCGATGCCGGGCCTACAGCTTCTTGATACAACAGGCCCGCTGATCCT